TACATACAATTTATATTTGTAATGGTTCATTTTGATTTAATAAATAAACAACACCAACCTGATTGAAGGAAAAAAAAGAAAAAAATAATAATAATTTTTTTTTTTAAAAAAATTAAGTTAAAAAATTTTTACTAGATTTTTTAAATAATTAACTATAATTAAATATTAAAAATAAAAATGTATATTAAAATTATAGAAAAATTAATTAAATAAATATCAATATATTATAAAATATTTTTTAATTTTTTAAAAAAATTTTTAATAAAAATATAATTTCTATCCATAATTTTATATATAAATTTTTATATATAAACTTGATCAAAATTTTTTAACTTGTTTTTTTTTTTAAAAAAATTTATATTTAAAGTTTTATATCAATTAAATAATTATTTATTAAGTTATATTAAAAAATATTAATCCAAAGACTTTTGTAATACATTGTATATAATATATAAATTATTATTATTGAATAAATTATTTTCAAATAAAAAAATCAAAAAAAATATTTTTATCAAGTTATATATATTATATATAAAAATAATTATTCTCAAAAAATAAATAAATAATATAATTGTACTTAAAATTATATTGTATATATATTGTTTAAAAATAAAAATAAAAAAATATATTTATTATTTTATTATCTTCAAAAATAATTATTAATTGAAAATTTAAATTAATAATAAAATAAAAAATTTTTAATTTATTTTTTTGATCAATTTGTAAACTTTAAATATAAACTTAATAAGTAATATTTTAAGATTATATTACAAATAAATATAAAGTAGTATTCTTTTTTTGTTATATTTAAAAATCAATTTTATATAAATTTATATAAATTTACTGTATTATTCTATTAGCGATCCTATTTTAGGTAGCTGTCATGTGAAATGTTTAGACTTACTGGTATATAAGTAAATCGTCGCTTTCCTCTTTTCTGAAGACATCTCATTACGATTTTCACGTTTAAAGAGTTCTGACAAAAAAAAATGGGAAAAACACGGAATAAACCTCGCACCAAGGGAAATGTTCAACCTGCCAGTAGTAGGTTTGTATTAAAATAAAATTGTTCGTTATGTATCCCTTTATTAATTATGTGCATTCCTGTCTCTAGTCGAGCTGCGGAAATAATGGCAGTAAGCAGGACCCAAGTTTCAACTGGAGGATTGGGAGGATTTGCTCAATTATTGGGTGAAACACCATTTGCGGCTTTAAGTTCTTCCTCGACCAATTCAATTGCAGATAATATAAGTGGATCGAATTTGAATCCAGAATTGGTGCTTATTTTAAAAAAGTTATCAAAGCGCGATCCTACTACAAAATTGAAAGCTTTAGAGGAGCTCGAAGCGTATTTGAAAATCAAAGAAGAAAACGATGAATTGTCTAATATAATGAGCGCTTGGGTGAGTAATTATTCACTTTTCATAAAAATTATGTAATAATATATTGATTCCATTCTTTTTTTAGGCCAAATTTTTCGTTAAACTTGCAATTGATGTGGATCGGCGAATACGTTTTACTACATTTAATTGTCACCTGCTTATCGTATCGAAAATTAAGAAGCGCATTGCACCTCATCTCAAAGAAATTATCAGTATTTGGATTATATCTTTGTTTGATCAAAGCAAAGACGTTGCCCGAATAGCTAATGAATCATTTCAGGTTTTTTCTCGATTTTTTTTTGTTTATATTATAACTGTTATTCGTGATTTGGTTAACAAATGAAAAATTTGTCTATTTTGAAGTAGACTGCTTTTCCACCCGGAAAACGTACAGAAGTCTTGGTGTTTGCACAAACAGAAATATTATCGACTATACACGAAATTATAATTAACAAAGTGCCTGAGACTCTGAGTGCGTTTATAATGTTTTTAAATACAAAAATTACTTCCACTAATATAAGAAATTTCTCGTGAGTTAATTTGATCTCTTTTTGAAAAGGTGATCCTAGGTTCACTTCAAAGGAAGACATGGATTCTAAATATGCTAGAGTCGTTGCTAGTTCATATTTTGCTCTTGCACATTTGATTGGTAATTCAATGAATTTATCCCTCACTTTGAAAACTTGTATTTAACAAAAGCGTTAATGGCAATTTAGACCAGCTAAGCGAAGATACCTTGTCGAAATCCACCCAACAGTACAATGATCTCTTTGATAATACGAGATTTTGGGGAAATTTGACCAATGAAAATTCGATTATCCGTAAATCTTGTTACAATATAATAAAGGTTTTGGTAACTAGATGGCCAAGTACGAATTAGAGAATCTTAATAAAAACTTTAATATCTGTAAAAAACATGTGACTTATCGATCTCTTATATCAACAAAAGAAATGGCTCAAGATCGCTTGGATATTCTAAGTACAACATATTTGATGTCGGTATTGAACGACAAAGATGCATCTGTATATTCCGAGTTATGGGATTCGTTGATAGTTTTCACGAAAAGTAAGTTCGCATTTTTTATCTTTGCTTTTTATACGAATTTTATTTCTTTCTACATTGCAAGAAACTCAATAATTCTGCTTTTGAAAAACAAAGCCTTTCCTCAATCATGGTTAATAGCCAGTAGAAAGAAGCCGATGCTTCCGAAACTTTATAATTTTCTTCGATCAGCTTGCCATGGAACAGGCTTTATTTCTTATCCGTGTATCTTGCCTTTAATTAGTCAATTGCCTCAGGAGGTAAGCTCATTTAGGCGGACTAGAAACCAAAGGGGCACACATTTATTCGTGCGACCTGTTGTGAAAACTCTAATTCATCTAAAGATGCTTCATTTGATAATATATTTCCTATTGAATGCATTACGTCTATTAGATGATTGATTCCAATCCAAAATTCCATGAAGAATTTTTTTTGAATTTTTGGAAAGGTCTATCAAATCCTTTAGTTGACCGAGCAAATTCTGATGCGTTTTTGCAAGCTTACAGTGAGTGTCTGGTGTATTGGATTTTCAAATTAGGGTGAGGTTCGGAACCATTGTGGAATATTGGGTGCGCGTTTCCTTCTTTCCGAAATGGTTGATTACACCTTTTATTTGAAACTCGATCATTAGAAAATCTGGAGAAAAACAGAAACAAGTTTATCTACTTGAAAATAAGTTTTATGAATTAATCGAAATGTATTTTGAATCTAAGGTAATATTTTTATTTATTTTTTTATTTTATTAGTCTTTTAGGTATAAAATATATTCATATCTTAATTATTAATTTGTTAATGATATAGTCTGAAACAAAAATCAAAGCCGAAAAGATGTGCTCTATTTTAGCGCGTCACATTTCTCGGTTAATCACGGGATTTCAAGAAACTGGTTAGGATTATAGTGATTTTTATGAAGTTTATACATACCATGATATGTGATCTTATTTGGAAAACTTTTCTGTGAACAAAATATGAAGACGTGTTGAATAACTTTATCAAAAAAATAAGGGAATTATGCATCAATACGATAAAAAATATTGATTCGAAATTGGAGAGTGATTTTAAAGAAGTTTGCCAAAGATTATCCGATTTATTGGTTTCAATCCCTTCAGCTACGAATGATAACAGCGATAATGTGACTGATTTTGTATGTATTTTGATAAAGAATAATGGTTGCTTTAACTTGGCTACATGTTCTCTAATCGCCATGATCTTTCAGATTACTTCATTCGTTGAAGATGTGTTCTGCATTACCCTTTCCGAATGTGAGAAAGTCAGTGGTACGTGTCGTCTATTTATGTCATTTAAATTTTTAAATTATACTAAACCCTTTATTGCATTTGGATCAAAAGGTTACTCTGCGGGATTATTTTTATTACTTTCAAATTTAGCCAGGGATTTTTCGCATATAGTCTTGGTGAACGCGAATACTAACATGGTATTATACCAAAATTCTGAGTTTTTTGTTACATATCTTTTCTTCACCATCTAACTAACCATGAAAATCAATAGGCACTTAAGAACTTTATTAGCACCAAACTTTTTGATGTAGTCCGGACCACTTCTGCAACATGCTTGGATCATATATTTGACTTGTTTTCATTATATTTATCATATATTCAAGAATCGCCCGAAGGGCTGCAAATTTGGAGTGGTCTTGTGCAGGCTGTTATTGGAATTGAGGTTTTAGAATCTAAAATTGATGTTATGTCTATTTTAATTAACAAAGTAAGTTTTACCTTAATTAGTTTAAGTATTGGGACTATTTGACTGATGCTTGAGAAAATGGATTTACTCTAGGTTTCCAACGATACCATTACATGTTTACTCAATGATGACAAACTAAATGAATTTCTGGTTTCTTTGACAAACCAATTGTTGTACTTAAACATTGAACCCGGAATTGTGCCCAAGATTGAGAATCTCTTGGAACGATCTCTCTCATCAAAAGGTTTGTTATTTCGATAGAATTATTATTGCTTTATTTGGTTGATTCCTTGTATAATAGTTTTTTTTGAACGTGAATACTACTTTTCTTATTTTAGCTTCGGTGTTGACATCTCAAATCAAGAGTCAAATCCTTGATCTTTTATCAAAAATTATTTCTGAATGTGTACATGAATATTATATTGGAGGAAATTCTAACATATCAAAAGGCACTGTGTTGTCGGCGTTACGCATATATTTGAGATTATTCAAAGATGATATATTCGCAAAGTTCTTCTTGGAATCCGAGATGTTTCCTGTAATCGGAAAATTGTTCGAACTGACATTTGTGAAGCCCCATGAGAACCCGGATGATGATATTATAAAAAATGTTCAGGAGTCTGCCCAGGAATGCTGGGAACAAATTTCCAACGCTTGTGGTTCACATTCTCGAAGAGAAGCAGTTATTGACAGCATGATACAACAAATCAAGATTGCACTTCTGAATATCCATTATTCCGCAAGGTATGAAAAACCGAATCTTTTTATCCGATATTCAGGATGTCAAAGATTTAATTTTATTGTCTTTTTAGTCCTACAGACTTTGCGTTACGCGTCACAAAATTAAGCTCAAAATTTTATGAGCACGATATCGTGAAAACGCGTAAATTAATTTCAACATTTCTTTTCGATGAAGAAAGCTGGCGCGAAATCAGCGAACCTTTCTTGTCTTTACCCGCAGATTCGTCTCTCAGTATTCTTGATCCAGTAATACTGCCATTTATTGCTGAGAATAAGAAACAAATTGATCACATCATATCTCCGACGGTTGTTTACGACATTTACGGCCTTAGCGTTTACATGCGTCTTGGCCTTTTCATCCTAGAACTTATTAATAAATTTGGAATTTCAACATTTTTTTTTATCAACTCTGGGAACTTTTTGGATAATGCTTTAGAGAGGGAAAAAGAGCATCCTGACTGTCATTGGATCCTATCGGAGTTAATATTAATTCATGTATTATGTACTGATAACTATCGATCGCGCAACAGTAGCCATTGCCTTTGGGATACTATTCATGCTGAAGATAGCGATCACCAAGGATTCAAGGCATTCCTGGAGGAGATTCACGTGACAATAAAGCAGTATATGGATTGTAGTATGCGACATGGATTTTCTGGTGTTAAGTCAATAATCAATATGTTGACTACCGCAACGAATTCAATTAATGTTCAAGCAGATAATGTTTCGATATTGATCAAGGATGCGGTAAAGAGGTCGCAGAATAGCTATTCATTATATTGGTCTAGAGTTCTACATGTTTTGTGTTCAGAAGCATTTTCATCTGCAAACATCACTCAAAATGAAGCCGAAGAGCTTCTAGATATTGTCAAACCCGAATTGTCCTTTAATTTGGCCACAAGGATGGCATTCGTCCTGTCGATAAGAAAGTTCCTTGATACTTCAGTAAAGTTTAAGAATTTTCAAAATAATTTGATCGATAACCTTTGCAAAATGGATACAAAAGAAATATTTGACATAAAATCTTTGGTAGATAATAATGGTAAGATTCTTTTTTTTTGAGTTGATTATATTTATTTATTTATTCATTTATTTAAAAAAAATAGATTATACGAAATTTACAGCTTGGGAATGTCTTTGTCTATTAAGCACTACGACCTCAGAGGGAAATGAATTCTTTTTGTTACCAAGTCGAAGTCTCAAGTTAATTGAATGTATACAAAGTTGGCGCGAAACTGTTGAGGCCTCAACATGGTCGGCTCCTGAATTTGTTCACATTCAGCTTGTCGTCGCTAGGCTTCTAAATTTCTCAATGATTTCCGTACAAGAGCAGAATGGGAAGCATTGGAATTTTATTTTTGAACTTGTTCAAGATTGGTTAAAGGTGTGTGTCGATCTTGAATGATTTAACTACTTTCATATAATTATTCGTTTGATCAATCATTTTTGTACGATTCAATATTTATTCATTGTGTTTGACCGTTCTTTCAGGTGAACGTCCATTTGGAGATTCGTTATGAAGCTGTGAATCTCTTCTCTCGTATCATCGATTTAGATTCCTCTTCCGTAAATAATGCTAGTGCTTATGACGTATCCTTATTATTATAATTATCTGTGAATTTGATGTCTTTTCATTCATATTCTCTTACATCTTAGAATTTACAACTTTAATTAAGGACGATACTGTTGAAGGCGATGATCTGATAACTAAATTTTCGACTTATAAACCTCAACTTTACGAGCTTTTGTCTCTTTTACTCTTTCACGAACAAAGTAATATTACTAGTGTCTGTCTTCTTCCTCATGCGACAAAATTTTTTAAAAAATCGTACTTTTATTTTGCAGCTTCTCAGAAAGAGGTTTTGTCTGAACAATACAGCAAATATTTGGACATTTTATCGTATGCTTGTCAAAATTTGCCGAAAGTCTTTTTGATCAACAGAAAGGATGAGGTTGTTATCTATTTCTACACTTGTGTTATTATTTGAAGATGAAATACAATGTTCTGATCTTTCTCGAATAATTTTCTTATTAGCTTTACTCCTTGTTGTTAGTCACACACGAAGGGATGCAAAAAAGTGTCTACAAACTTTTACGTGTTTTGGTTAGAGAAAAAGCACTGAGACTTTCTGAAGAGTTAGAGCTTTCAGAAACACCAGGTAAGAAAATAAATTTATGTTTGATTTTCGTTCAAAAATTTGCATATCAACTTTACCAACCAGATTATTCGATATAGATGAATCGATAGTACATCTGGATAGTGGATTGCAGTCTCTGATAACTGAAGCGAATAATAGCGATTATTTAGATGATGTGCACCTTGCTAACCCCAGTAGGCCTGTAAGCATATGGTATTTTCAATGTAGAACGAATACATCATAATTTATGAACTTTTTTTTTGCTACATGCATGTTAGGCGATTCATAAGACATTTGGTTACTTGCTTTCATGGATGCTTATATTTGATCATTTTGAGAATACGGTATGATTTAATTCTCGACCATATGACCATTTGATGTCGAATCTTGTTCTCAATAATAAATATCAATCCTTACTTTTTTTAGACCTACAAGTTTAAATCACAATTTATATCCCATCTCAAAGAACTAAATGTAACATACAAATTATTTGATCATATATTTGAAACATTGGGACTTGGATCATCGGATGTATACGATCTATCCAAGTGGGATGTACGAGAATTTTACGTTGAAGGTATAACCCTTTAAGTTTCTGAGGGACTAAACTTCTGTTGAAGAAAGGATTTGTAATCTGAATTGTTGTTTCCCCGTATAAACTCTTTTTTAATAAGGTTTCGAGATTTTCCTGAGCTTTGAGATAGGTTTTCCTTTACTCTGCGCGCATTTATATTACAAAGCATTAGGAAATGTTCCTTCTTTAGTGAGGTGGGTAAATTTGTTCTCGTAGTAATCTTTTTTTTTTTGTTGTTGACCCGTTACTGAGTAATGACTAAACTTTAGGTCATGGTGTTCTGAGTGCAAAAAACGTCAGCTAAGCATTAGTGTTGACAGGTAACAACTATGCCTTAAATGTCTGATTAACGTAATTCATTTGATGATTTACACTCCTTAATCTGTTTACAGTTACACAGAGAAATATTTCAGTCCCGTGATAATTCAGCAGCAGCTTGACATGCTTCAAAGCGAAAACGTCAAATCTCAACTGGAAGATGAAAAGTTCACAATCAGAGTTGCTCGTAGCTCCAATGAGGTAATCGCCTCATATAATGTTGACGAATATGTGATGGAAATCAGTGTTCGTATGCCGAATAATTTCCCACTCTGTCAAGCCGAATTTGGAACTCTCGAAAGAATGGGCACCACTAATGTTACGGATCTCAAGTGGGCCAAACTACCCGTGCAAACAGTGGTCAATTCGCAGGTATCTATGAGCGTATCCACAAGCAAATCTAATTCCTGATAATGAATTTACCAAGGTGTTTGTTCATGGTTCATCCTTTTTCAGAATGGTAATCTGGATATGGCACTAAATTTATTCAAGAATAATATCAAGCTCCGTTTCCAGGGGGTTGAGGATTGCACAATCTGTTATTCAGTTGTCAGTCTCGATGATCGTTCTCTGCCTTCTAAGCATTGCAACACCTGTAAAAACCGATTCCATGCGTCATGCCTCTATAAGGTAATTATTATTATTATTACTATTAATATTATTATTTATTCTCACCATTTTAACTTCAATTTTTACTCTCAGTGGTTCCGAAGTTCGAATTCGACTAGTTGTCCACTATGCAGAAGATTATTCTAGTCCTTCATTCTATTATGGAACTGATTGTAAAGTAAAAGATCTTTTATTTATTTTTAAAATGGATTTGTTTTTTTTCTATTTGGATAATTCCTAAATGACTTAATAAACCCAACAAGTTTAATGAAATATATAAATAACTATTGCATGTAAAGATTTTTTAACTGTGAAATAAACGGTTTTTTTTTAAGTCGACCGATAGGTGTCGGAGAATGGATTGTTCAAAATTTTTAAATTACAAATTGCCATAATAATTTCAAAATACACATGTCGATATACTGTATGCGTTGAAGTGACGATCATGCATAACTCGCTGTTCACATGATACATTAATAGGGGTACGTGTCTTTTCTACGCGTAATTAAGGAACTCCGAGGAGCTTTTGACTATCAAAAATTAGTATAGTATTTTGAATGAACTGATTAAGTAATGATTATATACAGTATAAGTTGTAGTTTATAAAAAATGACACGATTAATTAGCGCTCGGTTACATTTTGATGATTCACTTTTAGCATATATGGTTTGATGTACCTTTTTCCAAAGAGTGTGTTCCTTTGGGAGCCACAGTAATTTGATGGGATATCAATTACTTCGGCCTGTGAACCCAAAGTACGATTTCTTGTGCTGCATGTTTCAAAAATATTGTACCTTTACGTGTGCAAGATTCGAACTACATTTGTTCTATACCGAAAAGTTGGAAATAAAAAATGTAACTGCGTGTATGGGAATCTCTTGTCTATGTTTCTAAAGTAAGAAACAATGCACCAAATATAATTAAAGGTCACAAGTCATTTTTTTTCTAATTTGGGGAACTTAGCCACGTGAACGATCAGTTGAAAAAGCATATAAATTGCTTAGACTTGGCATTCCAGTATCCTAACTTTCTTTTTCCCGTCTCTTTTTCATTCATCATTTTGAGAAACTGGGAAAATTTTGAACTGTGCTTTCTTTTCCAATTTCTTCTTCTGTTAATACTTTTCATTACGTTCGGATTGCTATTGTGGGCTAATTTTCGTAATAATGGGTGTTCTCTCACGCGAAATAATAAAACAATATCTGGAAGAAAAGTATACTATCTTTTGATTTTAAGAATTCGAGTTTACTGGCATACATATAATACTGATATTGTCTTCTCTTACAAAATATTATCTTTTTTGCTCGTCGACAAAAGAAAACTCATAATTGAACCTTTTGATCAAGAGAATTTAGGATGTACAAGGTTAGTCTCCGAAACACCTGTGTTTTCACGTGATTTATAAAGGGGCACTAATATGTTGCACCAATTATTCACCTACATCGATACAGTTTCTAATTTACCTAGGATAATCTAACCTTATCTCTTTCTATTTTTGTACAACAGTATTGATTTGACACTCAGTAATGAATTTCGATATTTTATCCACAATAATGGACCGGTACCTATTAGCAATACAGCAGCTGCCCAAGATTACCAAAAATTTTCTCGAATTGTAGGTTTTTCCTATTTGTAAATTTATCTGTCGTCTATCTTATTCGTGGACATATGTAATCCATAAATTGCATGTTGGTATCTGGAGAAGCATTACTAATGCGGCTATTGAATTATAGTTGACACTAGATGAGGGAAAACCATATTACCTTGGTCCTGGCCAGATGTGTCTAGGTTGGTCTTGAGATTCCTTCGATCATTCTATATACTATTTTATTACTAACAGAATTAGTGTAAAACAGGAATTACTAGAGAGAGAGTTAAATTACCAACAGATTTGTGCGCTTTAGTAGGTGAATAACTGCAATATGAACATAACATATTTGATGATTTTGCGCTCAATACACATCTTACCTCAACTTTCTAGAGGGAAGATCGAGGTTCGCAAGGTTAGGATTATCTGTTCACATTACAGCTTCATTTATACATCCGGGTGTAAATAATCGGACAGTATTAGAAATTTTTAATGCCTCAAGCCTCACGTTGGCTCTTTTTCCGGGCACTAAAGTATGTCAAATGATCTTTATGACAATGGAAGGTCACTCTGAATACAACGGGGTATTCCAGGGCCAAGATTTGTAGAAGGAAAAGTAATTGTTGTGATTAGTGAATTCCTTTCCGTCTGAGAGATAAATTTTGATTTATATTTAACTCAAACAAGATAAATCCCACAATCCTCTGGATAGACCAAAAATACGTCGTATAGGTCGTTTGCCAGCAAAATCAAGGCAGGTCACAACTAATACTATTTGTTACCCAGACCTTTATTCTACCGGCAAATAATCCATATGCATATTTGCTAGATGCCATTATGGCCTAATAGTAGAGAGATTATTTTTGATAGATTCTCTGTACCTTATCAAGTATAATTATTGATATTTATGTAGAAATATCAGAATAAAGTTCGTGTCGTAACAAAAATGCAATGCTACGTGAATTGATAATGTACGTGGCCTAAAAGGTGGGCATTACAAAATCCGATGTGCCATCCATCAAGAAAATGAGCGACTAATGACAGAGCATAACATTCATGTAGATAGTGATGTTGATGTAACCACATTAGGTTAGGTTACGTTTCCCAAAAAAAATCCAACTTTATTTATAAAAAATGACAGTGTTTTTTTGTTACATAATAAGTATGCATGTAATGATATCTGTTACGTCATAGGATCATTATATCACCACGTTTTTCAATCATTACGTTTCTTCGCATCATCATTACGTCCCTCATCGTGATGTTCGTGCAAATCGTGCAAGTAAGAGATGGTTTCTCTTTGAAGATGATCCATTGTTGGTGGATTTGGTTCGCGTTCAGCTTTAATCTTTTGGAAGTTCTTAAAAATTAATGATGGTTGGTTTTACTGAAGATATGATGTGGATGTGTTGAGTACGTACCACAGCTTCACTTTCTGAGGCCAAGTTTGCATTCCAACCTGGAGCATGTTTGATATGTCCCTTGATGTTTCCTGACAAATAACAAAATAGATGTTATATAAATAAAAAATTATTAAAACAATAACGGACGAAAATTTTATTCGACACATCAGAACCCGTTTCGGGAACCACACCTTTAAGAAGACGCTTTTTTTCATGATCAATATCCTCTGGATCATTCTCTGGTAAGCGATCAGAAGGTGTGTGAAAACTTGCTCCAATATTTCTACCACCACAAGTTTGCTTTTCAAATGTGAGGGGTACAAACTTTTTAGATGATTTGAGAAACGAAGAATAACGAAGAAAGGATGCCGAACGAGAAGAGAAATTCATGATTTGTGATTATTCCTGAGAGTAATTACCGGTGAAAAGTTCAAGTGAACTGAGAAATATAATAAATTTTATTCATTCATATAATAAACTTTTAACGACGGTCACGTTAAAGAAACGGTGCGTAATGACTTGGAAATTACACATTAACGTCTTAAACTAATAAAATACAAGTCGTTAAGCCATTGTATAAAATGATAATT